CCTCCAGTCCCCTAATCATCTTTGTTGCTCTTCTCTGTACTCTTTCTAGAGTCTCAACATCTTTTGTACATCGTGGTGACCAAAACTGGATACAGTATTCCAAGTGTGGCCTTACCAAGGCATTGTAGAGTGGTATTAATACTTCGCGTGATCTTGATTCTATCCCTCTGTTAATGCAGCCTAGCACTGTGTTGGCTTTTTTGGCAGCTGCAGCACACTGCTGGCTCAATTTAAATGATTGTCCACTAGGACTCCGAGAATCCTCTCACAGTTACTACTATTGAGCAAGGTACCCCCTATACTGTACCTGTACATTTGGTTTTTCTTGCCTAAATGTAGAACCTTACTTTTTTCACCACTGAATTTCAATTTGTTAGATAGCGCCCAGTGTTCAAGTCTGTCCAGATCCTCCTATATCCTAAGCCTGTCTTCTGGAATGTTGGCTATTCCTGCCAGCTTGGTGTCATCTGCAAATTTAATGAGTTCCCCATCTATGCCCTCATCCAGATCGTTGATGAAGATGTTGGAAGAGCACTGGGCCAGAACAGAGCCCTGGGGCACCCCACTACACACTTCCCTCCATGTAGATGTGATTCCATTGAGGACCACACGCTGAGTATGGCCGGTCAGCCAGCTACGGATCCATCTGGTGGTGATGCTGTCTAACCCGCATTTTTCTATCTTATCAAGTAGTAGGTTGTGATCTACTTTGTCAAATGCCTTACTGAAGTCCAAGTAAATTATATCCACAGCATTCCTCTGGTCCTAATTTTGTCACTTGGTCGAAGAATGCAATAAGATTTGTCTGGCATGATCTGTTTTTGACAAACCCATGTTGGCTTTTAGTAATGACTTGGTTTGCCTGTAGGTGTTTGCTGATTCATTGTTTGATTATCTTTTCCAGAATCTTCCCAGGTATTGAGGTCAGGCTGATAGGTCTGTAATTTCCTGGGTCCTTTTTCCCCCCTTTTTTGAAAATGGGAACTACATCAGCTCTTTTCCAGTCCTCTGGTAGTTCCCCAGTGCTCCAGAATCTTTGAAAAATATAGTTCAGTGGTTCTGAGATCACATCTGCCAGTTTCTTGAGAACCTTAGGGTGTAATCCATCTGGTCCTGGTGATTTGAACTCGTCTAGGCTGGACAGATGTTCACTTACCATTTTCTTGCCTATCTTAACTTGTATTTCTATTTTGTTTTTTATGGCACTATTTTTGATAGGTTGGTCTGTTTTTTCCCTTTGTGTAAAGACAGATGCGAAAAACGAGTTAAATAGTTCTGCTTTCTCCCTGTTGCTTGTCACCTTCTTGCCACTTTCACCCACTAATGGACCAATCATTTCCTTCACTTTTTTCTTGTTTTTTACATGTTGAAAGAAGCTTTTTTAAATTATTTTTGATGTTGGTCGCAAGCCTTAGTTCATTTTGAGCCTTAGCTTTTCTCACTTCATCTTTGCAGGCTCGGGCTATTTGCTGATATTCTGACTTAGTTATGTGTCCCTCTTTCCACTTTCTATACTTGTCCTTTTAAATCTTTCAATTGATCAGAGTGTTCTTTATGCAGCCATGCTGGTTTCTTTTGAGAGCTGTTATTTTTTTCTCTTTGTTGGTATTGTGCTAGACTGGGCTTCTATTATCTCACTTTTCAAAATTTCCCAAGCCTCTTGAGTTGTTTTCCCCTGGAGGATTCTCATCCGTGGAATCCTTCCCAAACCCTCTCTAAGTTTATTGAAATTAGCTGTCTTGAAGTCCAAGACTCTAGTTTGACTGTGTTCTATTGCTTGTGCTTCCATAATGTTGAATTCCAATATTGCATGATCACTTCCTCCCAAGGTTCCTATGGCTTCAACACCTTCTATCATTTCATCTCTGTTAGTGAGAATTAGGTCCAAAATGGCTAATCCCCTAGTTCCCTTCTCTACTTTTTGGGAGACAAAGTTGTCTACTAAGTTTGTCAGACATCTGTTTGATCTTCCACTTGGTGCAGAGTTTGTCTCCCAGTTGATGTCAGGGTAGTTAAAGTCCCCCATTACTATTGTGATGTGCTTCCTACATACCTTAGTTAGCTGACTAGCAAAAAGTTCATCTATTTCCTGTGTTTGGTTGGGTGGCCTATAGTATACACCTATGGCAATGTCGTTTCCCCCCCCCTTTATATTGACCCATATGCATTCAGGGCAGTTTTCATCATTGTTGTGCTCTATTTCTGTAGAGATGTAGTTATTTCTCATATAGAGAGCAACTCTACCTCCTCTTTTATTTGGTCTGTTTCTTTTAAATAATTTAAATCCCTGTAGCTGTGTGTTCCATGTGTGGGTTTCATCCCACCATGTTTCCGTAATGGCAACAATATCATATCTGCCCTCATTAACCTGAATTTCTAGTTCACCCTGTTTGCTGTTCATACTCTATGCATTTGTGTATAGACATTTGAGTCCTTTATGACTGACTCTGTGTTTACTTCCTACATAACCTGTGTGGTGCCTGAGTTCCCCTAATGTCTTACCACCTATTTGGTTAGTGCACTTTGTGTGGCACTCACTATTAAGAGCTTGATTTTGCTTGACAGCAAGGTTGATGTTCTTGTCCACACACACATCTATGTTACATGCACTGATAGCCCTATAATTTTTAGATTGCTGGGGACAGGGATGTTCTTTATCAGTTAGTTCACTGTCCCCGCTGTTTAGTTTAAATATTCCTCCAGAAAATCTGTGAATTTATAGCCAAGTAACTCAGTCCGTTTCTTTGATGGATGCAAACCATCTCTTTTGTACATTTTTTCATTGGATGTACATTTTTTCATAGTTGATAAAGATTGGATGAAAGGAAGCTTTAGATCAAAGTAAAAAAAAAAAATCAGGCACCTGTTCCATTTCCTTAACCTTGAAACTAAAATTATTTCATTTTTTAAAAATTTTATTTGCGGCATACAACTTCAGATGATTTACCTAGTTGCATTTTGCACATTATGAGCAAGTAGTTGCTTATTTCACTATGACAACTAATTGGTTGGGAGCTCTTTATCTTTTTCTCCCTACAGCAGTAGATTGCTTGAGATGTAAAAATGAGAGATGGAAGTTTCCGCTCAACAATATTTCTGATGCTGACATTTCCATGGTTTATGTTTTGAGCTAACTAGTTACCTAGTGCAGCTGCCTTCCACTTCAATTCTTTTCTATGTTATCTAAAATCTTGGAAGCGCATCAATTAACAAATTTCAAATAAAGACAAATTTGGCAATATACAAAATGTGGCTTTTTGAATTATAGCCAGAGTTGTGCATGATTTAGCATAAACTAGTGATTCTTGCTCACAAGCCCAACAGCTCACTTCCAACTTCAATAAATTAAAAAAAACAAATAGGATCTGCTTTACTTTATATGTTCCAAGAGCCTTTTGCACATATTCCCATTTTCCACGATCACAGAATGGAAAGAGAATTCTTTAAATGGTAGAACTATAAATATTTAACATTTGTGAAAAGTAACTTTCAGCTGCTCATATATGGTTAATTTTTGTGCAGCAACAGACCTTTTTCATTTCATATCTTCCTACTCAGTTGTACTTTTCCTGACACACTTCTCCTTCCTTTGCAAAGAGATTTTAGCAATATGCAGTTCCACCACAGAATAGGATCAGACTAAGACAAGGGTGTCAAATGACGTAGCGCTACGTATCGGGCCAGTTTTGCTATTGCCGGCAATGGGGTGGGTGCGGTATGATGAAACCAGCCCGGGGGCCAGCAGTTTGACACCCCTGGACTAAAAGGAAGCCAGAAAGGGACTACAAGTGATTGAATTGGAGAGTGTGATGATTTAGTGCAAAAGACTAAACCTCTGGTCTCAGTGACCAACCCAGATTGGATCCTGCAACAATATCCTGGGACACCTACATTTGCCTTCATTTGTAGTGCAAAATCCTCCAGAATTTGATTTTAAAAAATATTGTAAGCTTTTCTTCAAAACAGTACAAATTGTATTCTGTGCAAGGGGTGAAATTTAAATAGCAAATATGTGTTTTATTATTTTCTACTTTTTTATATCCAAATTATAGTGATAGCAGGAATAGGCTGTGTTTTTCTCCATGGAGAACTGCATTCATTTGGCAATAGAACTGAAACCTGTGCAGGCAGGTACAATCAAAAGCAGATTGGAATATCCTGCTACATCCTTCTTTATTCCCTTTCTCTCTCTCTTTCTCTCTTCCTTGCCGAGAGAGACAGACTGCTATTCCCAACAGCTTGATAACAGTGCAATTATGAAAGGAGGCTAAGGACTGTATACATCCCCATAGCCACCAATTGTCCACTATTGATGCAATAATTTCATTGCACTTTTCACTATTGTGCAAAACCTAGATTATTATTATTCATGAAAGTTATATGCTGCCTGACTCCCAATGAGGCTGGATGGTTTTATAGATCCACAATAGTATGTAGGTCTGAGTCCACTTCATAAAAAGACTTTGCGTTAGTTCTTAAGAGTCCATTCAAAAATTGTTGTTGAATTGTAATTTTAAAGGGAGAGCTACATTAATTGTATATAACAAGTGCAATTCTTATCTCGATCTTGCCAATATCTTGGCATATAATTCAAGACCAAATGCTCTTAAAAATTATGTCATTCTGATTCATAAACAAGAAGACAAGGAAATATAATGGGATAAATAGGCTTCTATCAGAAGCTGCTAGAATAGCAGGCCATATTTTTACTGTATTCCCAGACAATGAATAGGGATGCCTACATAGGCACAGTAGATGGATATAGAGTTGCTTAATTGTACACAAAAGGCCTAAAGCTGCCAGTTGAATTGTGTTGTTTTCCTTAGCTTGACCCCCTCCCTCCCATTTCATGTCTGTTTCTTAAATTCTTCATACTTTTTAGACTGTATTTCAGGGGAAAGCCTCAAGTATTCAAGCAAATTCAAAACTAAAGACCCCTAAATCACAAAGAAGAAGAATATGCAATTCCAAACGGAATAAAATCAAGTTGATGCTATCAATCACAATGGTACCAGCATTAATTTATTAAAATTAATCCAGAAAGCAACCTTACATTAACAAAAATAGAATCTTGTAAAAAATGGGATTTACCCACCCTCCCTGCTCTCCTAACCACGAGCAGCTGCATTCGCCAGGCAGGCGCAATACCACAGTTTAGGTCTCTTAAGTTCGGTAGGACACACTTTCAAGGCAGGGGACATTGGTTTGGCAGTTCTAGTGATACAAGCTCCAGGAAGGTAGTGGTCCTGGCCTTTGGAGCCTGCATGATTTAGGGATAAGAGAATGAATGGGGACATTTGTGAATCCACCTAGGGAAGGAAAGGAGGCACTAGTAGCTGCCTTCTGACACTCGCTGTATTTTCACAAATTCGTTTCTTCAATCCCTCCTGATCAATTTAAGCAATTTTGAAGGTCTATGGCTATCCCCCCCCCCCCCCCCGGCACATCATTGCACCTGAACTGGCCAGCGGATCTTATACTTGCCAGCTTCATCAGTCTGTCAGTGCCACAGATCTATTACAACACAGCAAAGGTGGAACTGGATGCAACTTGTGGATGTAGTAACTACCCTGAGACCTGTCCAGGCAAAGTGCTGATTTGGGGAAAGGAGGAAGGGAGCACTCTTGCTGGCAATAAATGGAGTGTATTGATTCATAAGCTGGTTCCATCACATGAGAGCACCTTTTTCTTCATCTGAACAGAGGTGGGAGGGGCCCAGCTTGCCCTACCACTTCCATGAGCTTTAGATATTAGTACTTGACCTTACCTATATAGCAGGGCACAGCAGTGTGGTACAGGCAAAGAAAACAAATATGCAATATTTACGCATAGCTAAAATGCTTCTGGGGAGAAAATGGCCTAATCCCATCCCTTAAGTAACATTTTCTTACTCCAAAGGAGAGCTTAAGCCTACCTGCCCCATTCCATCTTCCCCTCCCCAATACTGCTTAGCAAAGATTTTTCTCTCTATTTTATTGAAAGAGTGTTCATTCAGAATCTATTCTATGATTCTTCCCTTTGCTGGAAAAGAGTACTCCTGCCTGCTGGTTCATGGCACAGCCTGGACCATTTTCTCCTTGCTGAAGTCCAGTTATGTGCCATCTCCTTCTGTTGTGCTCACAGCTCATGAATGGAGGAAACGGTTCCTCTAGCTGCTTCCTTAAGAAAAGTTTGAGCAAGGTAAGAATAACACAAAATGGCTCGTATACCACCTCCTCTCAAGCAGCCTCTGGAGCAGATCCAGAAATCATGCTGGTCTCAGTTGTCATCCCCTTATTCTTGTGTTAGATACTCTGCTCTACACAATTGTGTGAGAAGTCAAACGATGCCAGCTCCACTCCAAATAAGAGGAGAGACGGGAAAGTGGCTTCATGTTAAAAAGAAACTACAAGATGCCAAGACGCAGGAGCCCTCGGTGAATTCTAAGAAAGAGGACTGCCAAATGGTACTTGTGAGCAGAGGTCAACTGGTCTAGAATGTTCTGGGCAAGCCTGGCTAAGCAATTCTAGGAAAAGGGTGTTAACACACATTTTTCCCCATTAGAGATTTACAAGGTAGCAGCAAGTTAAAAGAGGACCTGCCTTCCCATTTATTGCCCAAGCCAGCTAGACAAGGCATGGAAAGGAACTCTGTCCCATCTTCCTCAAGCAACTTGGGAAGCTATTCAACCCTGCTCAGCTTCTTTCATTCCCAATGTCACATGAACAAAGACGACAGGCCTGATATTCTAGTCTCAAGAGTCTGTGTTGAAAAGCCATTTCTCTCTTATTTTTTTGTGTGTGCATCTGCTTCCTTCCCTTTCCTACAACCCAAGTTCATGTTAAACTAAAAAACTCATGGGTGAGACATAAAGCAAATTGGGATGCTCCCTGCACAGAACAAATGGAGCAAGTAGAGCCCTTGCCAGAGTCGGCTCTGTATGGGCAGTCAGTCTTCAGAAGCAAAGGAAGTGGATACTCCTCCTCTGGTCTATCTGGCCGAGCCCGGATTCTTCTATACTGCTTGTTTCATATCACACATTCTTTGAGTAGCCAAAGATACCTATCGGAAAATGTTTGACGTGTGTTGGCCACTGTGCAGCCAGCTGGAAAAACTTCACATCATTCCACTCCACACCATCAATACAAACTGTAAGAAAGATGACAGAACATTATCATTCTAGGAACGGTAACAGCAGGATAAATATCTAGGTCAAGCTCTGGGGCATGTGTGAAGGGAAAAAAGAGCCATATTATATAAACAAACTGCATGAGCGTGTTGGCGAAGAAATTTAACCCTAGCTTTTTTTGTGAAGTGTGTTCCTCAAACTGATATCCTTCAGATATATGGAGACTGGATCCCATTTGGAGGTCTCCAGATTGGGGAAACCAAGTGCAGACTTGGCAGATCCATATGAAGACCTGTACTCTGTCCTTATGAAGCAGGGAGAACTCTGCCATGATAGGTCCCAACCTGGAAACCTTTGAGCTGACCCACTTACCACGCAACATGGTGTTTTGATGCTTGGCTGTGCAGATCAGGCGGGTAATCCCTTCAATCACTTGGCTTTTGGGTTCCAAATCCTTCTCCTTAGGTTTCTTACTCAGGAACATCACTGCCAAGGAAAGATCATGGCTCAACAGAGCTAAATCCAAACTACAGTTATGGACAAAGTAGTTAATTCCAGATTCCATGTCAAACCACAAGGAGTTTTTATTAATTATGTTAACATATACCCACAGGGCACTCAGGATGACTAAAGGCAAACAAAGTGAGACAACCTGAATAAAAACACTCCTTAGATGATTGGTTACCTTTTTTGTTTTTCTCCTTGGTGACCACAGTCATGGCCATGGTGTTAGGTGGAGTGAGCTCTCCTGGACTAGGGATGCGGCTGACCTGCAGGGAGCGGAAGTTGCTTTTCAGGGTGTTCTTGATGCCTATTTCCCGCTTTTCAGCCTCTTTTCTCTTCTCTGGCCCCTGAGCTGTCCAGTAGTCGACCTGCAGTCCCATCACCTCCACCCCTGGGCTCAAATTCCTGAAAGAAGAGAAAAAGAAAAACCATCTGAATTAAGTTATGCCCTCAGCAGTAGATGGCCTTGTACCACTCCAGCCTATAAGAGAAGAAGAGATCAACATGCTGTCATTTAGCTGAATTCTGATGTGCTGTTAATGTTTGCTTTTGATTTTTACTGGACCGCATTTTTCCTCTGAGTAAAAATTCTGCTATTCAGGTACCTTTATAAATAGAACGACTTGCCCTCTTATTTATCAGGTTGTTGTTTTATAGCTCAAGGTCACTGTAACCAGCCTTTGATATTATCTCATTCCTTTAATGGTCTCCAGGCATTCAATAGTTGAATTTTCTTGATATTCTTTTCTCGTGGAACCACACATTCCTGTGCCAATTCTGTTATGATCCCCAAACAAAGAATTCTGGCAATACCTCCAGCGTTTCTACAGTAAGAATAAACTAACTGGATAAATACAGGTAGTCCTCGAGTTAATGAATGTAAAGGAGCCTGCCAATTATATTTGTAACCCGAGGATTCGTAGGAGTGAATTGCGTAACTTGACCGCGATCACTCCCTTTCGCCCACGCACTTGCTAATTGGATGTGTGGGTCGTTAAGTGCACATGAGGTATCTCAGGGTGGGGAAGGCCATGGGGGCCTAGTGATGGAAGAGGCCACCTGATTCAGACTACCCAAGGCCTTCCCTGATTCAAGCACTTTGCTGATGACAACGGAGGCCCAGAAAGGCATGCACGTCCCTCTGAGCCTCCTTTCTCATTGGCAAAGGCCTCCTCAAGCACTTTGCTGACATAAACAGAGGCCCAGAGAGGCATGCTCATCCCGCTGGGCCTCCTTTGTCATCAGCAAAAGACTCCTCAAGCACTTTGCCAGTGAAAATGGAGTCCCGGAGGGGAGTGTGCATCCCTCCGGACCTCCATTCTCATCAACAAAGGCCCTTGCTGACAAAAACAGAGCCCCGAGAGGCGCAAACATCTCTCTGGGCCTCCTTTCTCATCGGCAAAGGTCTTCTCAAGCACTTTGTCAATGAAAATGGAGCCCCAGAGGGGAGCATGCACTCCTCCAGGCTTCCGTTCTCATCGGCAGAGGCCTTTGCTGACAAGAATGGAGGCCCGGAGGGATGCACGCAGCCATCCCGGCCTCTACTCTTGTCGGTAAACTGCTTGAGGAGGCCTCTGCTGATAAGAAAGGAGGCCCAGAGGGAACCAAGTTCCCCTCCCAGCTTCCGTTCTCGGTGGCAAAGGGTTTTTATAAATATGGCAAAAGGCTTTGGTGTTTCAGGCCTTCCCTCCATTTGCAAAGCCTTTTGCTGCAGATCTCATCCAGGCCTCCATTTGCAGAGAACAGAGGCCTAAAGTACTGAGAGATCAGGTGAGATCCGTAGTGCAAAATCTCTTTCTACTCATCTTGTGTGATCTTGTGGTTCTTTAGGCCTCCATTCTCTGCAAATGCACCGAAGGCCTGAAGCACCGAACAGGCCAAGAAATGGAAGGCTCCCTGGATCTTCGGAAGGTGGGTAGCCACAGGCCTAGTGCCTGTAGAGACCTGGGGGAGGGGAATAGGCAGGGCAAATGTTGCAGAACCTCTGTGGTCATTCATAAGTGTGAACAATTGCCGTGGTGCTGCAACATTTGTAATTTTGGGGCTGTGTCATAAGTATTTGGGGGGGTTAGGTCATAACTTTGAACAGTTGCTAAGTGAACTGTCATAACTCAGGGATTACCTTTACATATTTTTGCTCATCTGTTTCTGTCATGACTCCTTGAAATCATTCAACCTTCTCGGGAGAACTGACTTCACCCAGGAGTGCAAAACATGGGGTGATATACTTTTGCAATCTCTGTCTTTATTTTTTTCATTTTTGCTGGAGGGGAGGGGTGCTCCAAAAAAAGAAATTAAGGAGTGAAATGGTGCTTTAAGCATTGTAAAGGCTAATATCTCTTTATGCCCTCACCAAAATTTGATTCTGGTCCAAAATCAGATTCTGATTCCGGTTTTGGAGTGTCAACCCTATAAAGCTGCACAAGCCCTGGTGCCGCCTGCTAGCCAAAGAAATTACGCTAACCTAAAAATGCTAAACTAAAAGGCTCTACCCAGTGAATAGTATCACAAAATGCCCATAAGTAAATTTAAAGGTGCTTACCCAGTTCCTGAGAGCCCACTGCTGACAGAGGGAGAGGGCGGAGGGGTTCCTACAGCTTCCTTGGTATAAGGGATCCCTCCACCAGATGGAGATGATGAGCTCAGCAGTGAGGTGGAACAGATGGTAGCATCATCAGAATCAACTAGGAAAAATTGTGGGAAAGCACCTGATTATATCTCTTGTTACCCAGAGCACTTGGGGGAAAACCTGGCTGTCTGGAATGAGGAGCAAAGGAGATTTCTATGTACTATCAGAGCTAGGTTGTTTCCATATGCATTGCCCTACCAAACTTATCAAAGTAGCCGCTATGGGAGGAACAAGGAAAGGATAGAGGCACCAGCTGGATTTGCATACAAGCTACGTCACAATGTGATTTCAGCTTAGTCTGTTGTGTCAACCCAGCCACTGTGGTTTGAAAACAGTTTTACAACAGAATGTGGTATGTCCCCGGACAATTCAGGAAAAAAAAACCCCATGGCATGCTGTTGGCATCTGTTTGCCACATCTGGAACCAAAACAGCACTGCGTCTTGAGACTCATGATGCTCTCCGGACTAGCTAGATTGAAGGGAAAATCCAAGATGAGCCTCTTCTGTGGTTTTAGGACATGGGATTTCAATGAATCTCTTCCTGGTTGAACCCCCCCCCCCGAAGTTCTTCTACTTTCTATGCTTTGTTTTTCAGACTTTTTCTGTTTGGTCTATTTAAATATGAACTACTGAATATGCTATTATTATTAGACATGATTAATGTACATGATTTATTTCATGCTTAGTTAAACTTGGTATTTTCCAAATGAACTGTAATTGAATTCATGTAATTGGACACATTTGATATAGTGATATTTATATTTGAACAAGTGTTTTCAGCACAATCTCTTGGTAAAAAATGTGGTGCACAAATAAGTTGGCTGCGCCTCTGCCCTAGAGCCACAATAACTACCGTTATTATTTGATTCCTATTCCTTTATCAGAAAGAAGGGAGGGAGAATGCAGGGAGAGATATTTAATTTTACTCAGTAATAATACACGCTTTTGCCCTTTTGAATTTTCTCAAAAGACAAATGCCAAAACAGCACTTTTTCTCTAATAGTATAACACCTCTTCTCTTGAGCTACATTTTACACAGGCCACAGAACGAACTCTTTTAAAACAACAAGAAGCACTGTCATCTCTCTGTAATGGCAATGTGGAATACCACTGTACTTTGAGGAGCAGAGTGACATATTTTGATTTCTCCTTCATATTAAGAAAAGTTGAAAAGTTTTCAGCTCGTTCTGAACTAACCTATTTGTTTTGCATTCTTGCTGAATAAAGGAGAGGAGAGGAGGGGTCTTCACATAGCTGCAAAGCTTTTCTTATCTGTGAAAGTTTCAGACTTTCAGTGCCCACTCCAGAGTCATGTGCCATCCGTTCAAAGTTAGATCTCGCGGTGTCATGATCTTAGAAGCAGAGCCATGAAGTTATAGTGCCAGATTTTAATGAAAACCTAATACTGGCCTTTAAGCTGGAAGCTTCTGTACAGAGCCCAGCACTGGGTACTGGGGAAATTGAGCAGACCTTGGGAGGTATCTGCTGTCATTAAGGACATTTGGGTATCATCTTGTTGGTATATAGCAGGGGTAGGCAACCTTGGCTCTTTTATGACTGGCTCAGGAATTCTGGGAGTTGAAGTCCACGAGTCATACCCCTGCTATATAGTATATGCTTTTTATGTTATGCTTTTAAATTTGTTTGCTTAAGTTAATAATAAGTGAATACTTATAATTTTATTCACTGGTATGCTTCTTGTCTCTAGACCCAAAAGAACCAATTGCCTGGTCAACCCTGGCACTTGGCAAAACACCCTCTTCATCCCAAAGGACCTCAGAGAGGTATACAAAATAATAAAATAATTTTCAGTAAAAACAATCCGATAAAACAATTAACAGTAAAATCAAAAATAAGGTAGAGGAACACCAGCCTATTCTCTACATTTTTCTCCCCCAATCTCCTTGTCTCTCCTCAGTGTTATATGAGGGGTTTAGAAATGAAGGAGAGATGTAATCACACTCGCCTGAACATGACCGTAGCTTTCAGCAGATCCAAAAACCAAATGAAACAACAGATGTAGCCATAACAACTCCCCTCCAGACTTCCCAGCTAAAGGGATGGTGGTTGAGGAGGGAGAAGGGCAGAATGTGAGGACTGAGGGGGAAGGGTCCTAACTCTCCTCAGTTTGAAACCCTAACGGCATCAGAAAAAGATGGAAAAGGACGAGTGGGTTTAAAGAGGAGCTTCCCAAATTTCAATGCAATCAAATGAGAGAACTGCCATGATTCTATTGAAGTATGACCAGGCATTGATTCATTTTGCCTCTCCTGTTTTTGTTGTTCTCAAAAGCCTGGGCCTCAGGTGATGTGCAAAACCAGGAGAGGTTATAATTGAGGCAGGTTGCCATAGCATGATTTCAGTTCTCTGCCTCATATTTGCCCTGGTCTGCAGGATACGAGGCAGGAGTGAAAACAGAGCATGACTGCTCCCTCAAGGACTCAACTCTTATCACCACCCGTGCCCATCTCTCACCTGAAGTGCTGAAGGACTGCTCCACAAGTCCCACTTTCACCACCTGTGGGAGGAAAAAATTGCTCAAAAATCAGGAAATTTTAACAGGCAATATTCTATCACTCTGACAGATAGATCTGGCGCATGGGGGGGGGGGAGGGAGATCCGCAGTGTGGAGTTCAAAAAGTCACAGAAGCTGCCTGATTTTTATGTGCATCATGGGTGGAGATTTCACTGCACCTTCATGATTGCCATCTTGACTTTTTGGGCACACCCTGCAAACATCCCGGATGGGCCCACCCACAGCTTCACACCAAAAAAACCAACTTGCAACAGACCCCTTCATGCAAGGCATACACATTCAATTTCTTCAGCAGGCATCTCAAGAAGCAAAGAAAATGGCTGGGGAATTCTGGAAGTTGAAATCCACACATTTTAAAGTTCACACGGGTTGGAAGACTCTGCTCTAGCAGAGTTACAGCACACTTACCCCAACAAACGGCACAAATTTCTGACAGGAATCCTCATCTGGGCTGTAAAAATGGAACAGAGGTAATTACAAATGGCAAGTCCCTGCAGAGTCCTCCATCTGCAAAGGCCACCTGTGAAGTGGAGCTCGCCCAAAGCTTTACCTCCCATCATCCTTTGCTGATCACATTACCAACCGTTGTCGAATAGCTCTGCCCCCTCCCCTTGCAGTGTCGTTGGACACAAGCAGAAAGGGCAGCTTTGGGAGAAAAGGACTGATTCCAGGATTTGTTCAGGCAGCCCCAGCAAAAGCCTGATGTAATAAACAAGCAGCTATCGCAGAGGCAAGCAACGGTGTCTCTTTCTCGGGAAGGTGGAAGGAAGCGGGTTGGTTCCCTCACTTTCACACAGCATAGCAAACTTCCCCCGCGCAACCCCAATGCTGAGCACAGGATCACAGTGCGCAGGAAAGACGGGAAGGCAAAGGGACAAATGCAGAAGAGACTCAAGAGGAAGGAAGACAGGCCAGCTTCCTTCTCTGTGACTTCCACAGGCGGGAGGTCTCACATGCAACCGGGGACAGCCAGCAGCCTGGCCTCAGGCAAGACAGGCAGGGGAAGCACTCATTCTGTTCCTAGACAAAGAGATGAGACGGACGGACACAGAAGAGAAAGGCAACACTGCAGCAAGCCACAGTCCAATACCTGATATAAAAATCAAAATAGAGGCTTCTTTTCCTTGAATGCCAAAAACCAAGAAGAGGGACAGGCATAAGCACTACTTGAATACAAGCAGTTAAGACTCTGGCGCTGATAGACAACACACAGTGCCCATCTCACTTGGCAAGGCTGAGCCATCAATGCTATATTGTACTCAACCGGGGAGGAGAGGGGAGGGGAAAGAAGAAAGATCCACTGCAACTCCTGGTGACCCTTGAATAGTGATTAGAGAGCATGACATTTCTTCCCAAGGCCACCTTTCCAAGGTGTTCCTGGTTAGCTTTCAGCAGAAGATAGCTCAAATTCCATGAAGAGGAACAGCGACATTTCAAATGTTTTGAACAATTTTCTACCTAACATACTTACTGTACTTGGCAGTCTTTATGGCACAGCTGCTCACAATCTGTCTCAAAGAAAGAGAGAGCTGTCCTACAAAACAGTGGTACCAGCAATGATTCCACATTTGGTGGGGGCTTGGACATGACAGCCTGGGTATACCACCTGCCCTGCCCCCCTGCCCATTTGCCTGCCTTTTCCCAGACAGCAACTCAGAGGCCCAGAAGCCATTTCTCTTTGGATAAGTTGTTCTAAGCCATGATCATAAGGCAAAGAGAATGAAAAAGCTGGCAGAATTCAAATGAAACAGAGAAATAGAGAATGAGAAAAAGAGAAAAAGAAAGAACGGGGGGGGGGCAGTTTTCTGGGGAACAAGAGTGAGGGTGCCAAACTAGCAGCAGTCTTCACTGCCAACCCCTTTAAAAACATATTATTCCATCGAATAAACCTATTACTACCAGTGAATTAAACAGAATGACTTTTTAAAAATATGCATTTACTACTCAAAAGAGGCCTTTTTTTGTCATTTCCTGCCTGGCAGAGACCACAGTCAAAGATGGACATGTCAAACTTCCGCTATAGACCTTCTCTAATCATTTTGCCTAACTGTAGCATTGCTGCTCTCACAGATCTAGCGATCTTCATTTGGTATGAATGCTCATGTCCTCTCCCTTCAGATACCAAGCATGAAAAAACTGCAAATCATTACCACTGCTATTAAATTATTTTTAATTATTTCCCCCCACAACAACAGGGTATCTGAAGTGACCTGGAACTCCGTGCACTGCAAACAATTCACCAGAGAGATGCTAGAGCAGTGGTTCTCAACCTTTTTAATGCCGCGACCCCCAACCGCTCGTAAGTCGAGGACTATTCAACCGCTCGTAAGTCGAGGACTACTCCCCTGGTGCAGCACCGTTTGCAGAATGGGACTTTTGGCGGGCTCAGCAGGGCAGAGACAGCCTGGACAATTCCTATTGGCTTTTGAAAGCCAATAGAATTAGACTCTATTCAAGAGAGTCTATTCTATTGGCTTTCAAAAGCCAATAGAATAAAAGGGAGTAGCACAGCTAAGGAAAAGGGGGAAAAAATGGCGGACTGCGTTGTTTGGCGACCCCCGTGAAATGGTCGTTCGACCCCAAATGGGGTCCCGACCCACAGGTTGAGAACCACTGTGCTAGAGCCTTCTCTGCTCAACTGGGATGGTTGGCTGGGTTCTGTCCCCACACATTAACTGAACGTGCTTCCAATGCCACACCCCATGTTTCCCTATGGCTCTGCATTATGAGGTGAATTTGTTAACAGAATACATGCACTCTCTGAGGAATGGTTGTCAAAGAACTACCAGAAGAAATACAAATGTATAAATGGTATACTAAAGCCAAAGACAGGTTCTCTCCACCTACTATGAGTTTTGGAATATTGGCAAAACCCTATTCTCTTTTTTTAGAAAGTTTGGGGGGGGGAAGAGGTAGGAGCAATTTATTCAAAGCTCTTTAAGCTCCTCTTAGTATTAGAAAATGCCAACATTTCATCATTTTAACTTTTGACTTGAATACCGGAGTACTTTAATAATGGAGAATTGTTTAAAAATACATATGTAGGCCTTGCCCTCCCACTCACAATTTGATTTCTTTGCCTTCAGTTATCTGAGTAGTGAGTTACACAGCACCATCTTTTTCACCCATCTTTGACAGTTAAAGCCACAGGGGACATACAGTAACAACATCAGGGAGAATTTTAATAACCTTTTTTTTTTTAAAAAAAAAGTAAAATAGGTGCATTCAAATCTACTAGAAACTCAAAGCACCTCTTTTGCTTTCCATAATAAAAAATTATATTATGTAAACTGAAAGCTCATTGCTAAGTTTCAATGACACATTTTTGGGATCTCCCAAGAGTCCCCCAAAAAGAGGTTTGGAGGCTGTTTTTAGCCCACAGGCTTCCTTCTTCACAGTAACTGCAGATTCTGCAATGCAAAGAACTTGCTCAATTCCAAGCTCATTTTTAATACCGGCATTTCTAGATCTATTTAGACAACAACAAGCAATGCAGTCATTTTGGGGAATGCATGTGCGTGTTATGTTGCAGCCGGAGGGTGGCAAGCTAGCTGAAGACGCATCACCTACATGCAGTCCAGGTTCTGGGCAGAAGCCACCACTTCAAATGCCTACAAAGCAATACCAGAAGACAAGTCCTGTACATGGCAATGGGGGCAGGAAGCCACATCAACACAACTGTCACGTGTCCAGATAACTTAAGCCAGTTCTTTATGACCTACAGTCCTGCCCCACCCTTCTCCCCATCCTCTCACAGAGCCACTGGAAAGGTTTCATTTCTTGGCAAAAGCTGTCCCATCAGTGGAGCTTTAGCACAGCATTGCTCGTCAGAGCAAATCAACACAGGTTAATTTAGAGCTGGTATCCTCAGCATCTGCAGACTGATAGAGGTTATTTGAGGCGAAACTGTTGCAGAGAATCTGTCAGATAGAAAACATCACTTCACCAGGAAGCAAACTGGTGAGGTTGCCCCCCTGCTGCCCTTTCTACCCTCCAAGACACCGTCTGCCTTTTTGCTGGGCAAATCTAAAATAAAGGCCTGTATGGCTAGTCTGTGAAAAAATAAGTGGGATCTATGTGGAAGCTGAATGCATCCTTGGTAATAAAGATGATTTTGAAGGCTGGTGCTTTGCTCTGAGACATGCAACTTTCTTTTGAATAGTGTTTAAAGCAGCTGTGAAATAAACCTTATAGAAATGAAAATATCACTATGCTTCCAATTCAATAACAAGTCTGCTTGGGGAGGGTAGAGCTTCCTCAGTCCAGGAATGTTCCAGCAAAAAGCAGAGTCCTTTTCCGACCTCCCCGGAAACTCCCCCATTGAGTGCAGCAAGCCAGCTGTACATACTGTGTGCCAGTCCCCCTTGGTTGCAGGGGAAAGCCTGATGTACCCCATACACCTGAACTGTGGGGAGAGGAAGGACAGAAACAGCACTTGCAATTCCCAAAATGACTATTCAGACCAGCCTTTATTCTGGGGCAAAAGCAGAAAAAAACTGCTTATCTATTCTGCTTTCTCCCTGCTGCCCTATCCTTTAAGAGCGGTATGAGGATCACAGTGCAAAACCTGGTCATGTTCCCTGGAAACACATGGAAAAGAGATCATAGTAAAGTAGAAGCGACAACTGCTTGGTGCTCCCAGAAGGATGATTTGGTATTTTGGAGGAGTTGGGGTGAGGAGATATCAGGTCATGATGGGTAGGCAATGATGTCAAGTAGATAGAGCTGTGTCACACATAGGCAAATACAGTTTTTTTCTGGTTTGGAAGCATCACAGAGATTATTCTGTTTTTAATTTATAAGGCCTATATTAGAATATTCACTACAGTATGTTTTGTGTGTGTCCTATCTCAAAATGCAGAAAACAAACAACAGTTTCCCTCCTCTTATCAGGCCTCACTGCCCAGCCCAGCACAGCACCCTCCCACACACCAAGAAATATGGGGATGCAGCCATGCACCAAAAGAGATGGGCTCCATGTTATGTGGGTTCAGATAGATAATTCTGTTACTTAGTGAAGCCTTAAAGAGAGTGAAAGGAAGGAAAGATGAAAGGAAGGAAGACTGCAAGCTCTCCTACCTCTTCTGTTTGTAGGTCAACATGGCCTCTGAAATGGGTAGCTGGTGAGATACACTGGCACCTGTAATGAACTGAGCAACCCGCCCAGGGATGTCCACAGTATCTGGAAAGAGATGGAGAGAAGGGATTGGAGGGGACAAACAGCTTCTTAGAACAGATATCCCATTACTGCTCTGTATTGCTACAGCCAATTAATTCTAGCTCTTACCTGAACTAGGGGCTTCAACTCTGCTAAAGAGCTCTCTCCAGGCTGCATCCAGAAACAGAGTGCTGTATCTATTATCAACTGAACCAAGGTACTTGGCCAAGGGGTGAGAGCCTGGGAAGGATACAGAGCATTTAAACAAAGGGAAGAAAAGGTGCAGGATATAAACAAGATAATTTCCTTATCCTCTCCTCACAAAGTTGAGCCAAAGGTCTAAGCAAACATACATGAATAGCAAATTGCCTCACCTCCACATTTCTCTAGCCCATGTTTTCTTTTCCTGGTTGGCATAGCTGCTTTTGCATGCTAACAAAAAAGGAAGGAAGGCTCCCCTGGTTTAGAATATGCCACAGCTTTTCAGAACTGGCGCCAGTGGGCAAGACTCTTACCCAAGGGCACCACAAGAAAACGGAGGTAGTTCAGCCAATCAGGAGTCTTGCTGGCTAGTTGCTCCACAAAAAAGCGCAGGACGATGCTCAGATAGCTCTGATCCCCTGCCACAGCTACTTTCACTGGAGGAGGCATGTGGGAATTACAGTTACAGCTGTGGAAGAAGAGAAATTCTGAGAAGTTCGAAGGCTGCAGATCCAGTAGAGCAACACCAAAGCCCCATTACTTACTGCCAACACTCCCTCTGCTGTACCCTCCATTAGACGGTCCTAGTCTTCCTAACTAGCCAACAGTCTTTCAGTTGGAGATAATGGGAAGCTGCGCGTCATTGCCTAGGAAAGCAATGGGCTATGGAAAGCTGGACCAAATAAAAAGGAATTCCCATCTCTGAAGCTACAACCAGGGTGGCTTCATGGTCTACATAACCAAGTACCAAAGTTCTCAGGCACGTGGTTAACTTGGGAAACCAGTCAAAATCTGTTCACCATGGCCTTGGCTGACTATACTCACTATCTCTGAATGCGAGAAACAATTGTGTTGAAGGCAGCCTGTACATCTGCCATGGAGCAGGTGGAGACCATGGGTTGCTTGTGTTCTTGGAGCTGATCACACAGGTACTGCCAATATAAAGCAAGAAACATAAAGAAAAGCAGCTAAAACAGATACTGTATGTGACATCTCTGGTCTCAAAGTTCTCCTATTCTTGGCTCTGTAGTCTGAGATCTATTCCTGAGCTAACAGGCTACAAGAAGGACTTATTTGGGATTAATATTCAAATCTGGTATGATGCTTTTCAGAGCAAAATTATGCCAAGACGGGTCATATTGAATTTATGTGAATGTTCAACATGTTTGGATTATTACATTGCCTTGCACTCATTTGATACCATATAATTCATTAATTTGCAGAGTTATTTATACATCTGATCTGGTATATTCCTCTGTAAATTTAATTGTTTTAATGTACATTTAATTGTTTTAAATGTTTCCCCCCCTATTTTGGCCAATCCACTCTGTAAAATCATGAATTGCTTTTCACAAGTTTCCCTTCACTTTCAGAGCAGGGGGTTTAGTTAAACGCAACCCTTGTGCAACCAGCTGCCTTCAGGGCTTCCTCACCTGGCCTTGCCACTCCGAGATGTTCACCAGGATGATGCTCTCAGGCAGCTGCTCGTCTGAGACCAGGATCTGGTTGAGCTGATCATACACAGATTTCCGGGGCACCTGCAGCAGCAAAGGAAAGCCATGATCAGGATAGTTCCAATCCCTGCATCAGGAAAGACCATAAAGGCAGGACAGACTTTGGCTGTCTTGGGAAAGTTGCAAATGTCTCTATTACTTTGGTTTTGTTTTTCCACTCTCCATTTAAGGCATTTCTCTTCCTCCTCCCGCCCTGTGCCAGGAGAGAGCCTTTCTCACTCCACTGACCTGGCTGTTCTGCCGAGAATCAGGGGAGCCCTCACTGTCCAGGCTACCAGTTCGGTCACTGTGGCTCTTGGAGTTTTGTCTATCCTTGACAGACATACTGCGAGGTCGCCAAAGCTGCTTGTTCTCAGCTTTGCTGAAAGACAAACAGCAGGTTTATCAGCACAGGTTGGGGGAGGATAGGCAGGCCTCAGATGCCCAGAGAAAGTCTCTGCTGCATTACTGAGCAAAGCCATCAATGGCCAAGTCATCAACAGCTATTGAGACCCAAACACAGAGACTGAAGAGGGGCAGGGAGGCTAAGAAGTTCACCCTAGCAACGGGAATTAACTGGACACTGTAAAACAATATGGTTTGTCAAAGTCTACAAAAATCAACCAAGTGTACCATCACCTATGATTTGATTATTTATATGCTATGCCGGTTTAGGGTTGAAAGGGTATCTGGGAAAACATCTCAGGTTTTTGAAGAATTCAAACACCTGAAGAAATCTTAGGCCAAGAATCCATGCCTGAGCCACAGCAGACTTAGGATTTCTACCTGAATATTGGCCCCAAGATGGAAGAACCTCTGCATGGCCAACATAGCTGCTATCTATGCAAGATCAGCTGCCCACTACAGATGGGGCCTTTCTTACCTGGGGGAAACAGTGGCTGGGAACTCCGGCTTGCTTACATTGCTCAGTTGGGCAAGCCTGTCCATGCTGCTCTCCTTCAATACCGTCTCAGCTGCTCCTCCTGGACAGGAATCGTTTGCCTCCAGCTCCTGAGATCATGTGGTTATTATATTTCCAATATGCCCAATAACCAAAGAAATGACGATGCACAGAAAGCATTGGAAAGTCTGTTTGTGGATGTGTTTTGCTTTGGAGCCCCAGAAGAATGTCAAATGGAATGGCTTTATTGGCATGCCTCCTACCCACCCTGCCAGCTTTTTCTTCAACCTCTTCCTACACCTCAATTCACTAATGCACGTTTCTACCCCCACTGCTACATCATTACGGCCATCTCTGTAGTTCATCCCAGTCAAACAGACAGAAGCAGAAAGAATGCTAACAGGAAGGTTGAATTATGAGTTGTTCCATAGTTTTAAAAAAGAGCCAAATTTAATTTGCATGATTCTAGAAGGTGGGGAGAAAATCCTCGACTGTGCCTGCAAAGCTGCAGGTGGTCCTTGACTTGCAACCACAATTGTAACCAGAATGTTAATTGTTGAGCAAAGCAGTTGTTCAGTGAGATGTCACATGACTGCATCACTCAATGACCACAATTCTGGCATTCCTGAATGAGGTCATTAAGCACTCTCACAGATCATTAAACAGGGGAATCCCATGTAAGGCACGTAGGGTGCCTCAGGGGACGGGGGAGACCTTGGGAGACTTGGTGCAGGGTGCATGTTCAGTATCTCTCTGCTCAGGAACTGAAAATCTCCCTGCCAAAATCCAAGCAGAATTTTCAGCCCCGAGCAGAGAGACTCACATGCGACCTGTACCAGGTCTCTCAAAGCTTTCCCCACTCTGAGGCACCCAGTGCTCCTTATCTTACCATGCTGCCTCTCTGCTCAGGGCTGAAATCCCTACTTGGATTTCAGTTCCCTTCGTCCCTGGGAGCTGGCTGAAAGAGCTCCCTGCCGAAGAATTGCAGCTCCATGTCTGCTTGGATTCCAGTAGGGTCTCGCTTTGGATGTGGATTTCAACAATCCAAGTAGACATGGAGCTGAAATCCTTTGGCAGGGAGCTCTTTCAGCCAACCCTCAGAGATGAGAAAGAGTCCTCTTGGCAGGCTTGCAAGCATTTCTGCACTGACTTTCTGAGGAAGCCAGCAGAGAAGACTGCAAATGGCAATTGTTTAAGTGCAAACTGATTACCAAGAAGCCAGATCATGATCACGAGACTGCAGGGTGGTAATGCAATATTTTGCAATGGTCAGAAGTGCTTTACAGGCTGCACAGCACCCTTCCCAAAACCATCATTAATTCAAACCATCATTAAGCAAATGGTCATAAGTCAAGGACTACCTGTATAAATAAAGAATATGTGATTCCACTATGCAATGAGGTGGTGGGATGAATCAACAACTGAACTGGCCAGCAGAATGTATCAATCAAAAAGAGCTATGCACAACCCTTGTGTTTCCTAAATTCCCTTCATTCCATCTACCACTACTCCAGTATATAGAAATACCAGCAAGAGCTCTAAATGTTTCAGTGCCCACAGAGACTGTTGATGTTGATAGAGTAGAAGAAAGCACAGGGTACTGTTCTTCATGTAAATTAGTATTGGGGAGTAGAACCCAGAATACACAGAGAGGATGACTAATACATAATGCTAGTGTATCTAGCACCGATACAGAAAGATTAATGCTAGAATCTCCCCAAACATTGCCAATGTATCTCAAGGGCTCCTCGAGTCATTTTCTCCCACCACCTCTAAAGCTGCTGCTCACACAGACATTAGAAAAGACTGAAGCAGGAAGATGCTCAGACCAACCACTTACAAATGCTTAGTTTATGAAAGATAAAGTTTACTGCGCTAAAAATTTCTCCAAACAATTTGTCTAGTCCCCATATACATGGTTACTCATGAAAAACAATATAACAAATCACCCAGAGTAAGCATCTCTTTATTGTGAGCTAATGAGTTTCTGATGAGTCAAAGCAAAAAAAAAAAAAAAAAAAAAGCACCCTGCTTTTGTATGACCCTATGTGGCAGGGTCCCATGAGTAAGCGGCAAAGACTGGGCACATTTACATAGCAGGTGCCAACCATCCCAAAATCCCTGCAGCAGGAGAGATGGAAAGTTTGTTTTAGCTTAGGAACATTCAAATGTACAATATTTGGAAATCTGGACCCAAAGACTGTTCTGTTCCCAGTGGAATACCTATCATTTGCCCAGAATAAGTGTCAGACTGATGGCCACTGACAACTAGGGATCGGATGAGCAACATGAAGAAAACCATTTGCTCATTTGGATAAACTCCCAGATCAGATAGGGTGGCAAAAACTTCGTAAAACAGCCAGGAAAGGAGAGGACTCACCATAGCTGCATTTTCCACAGCAGCCTCATCTTGGGTGTGTGGGATACCCACTTTCCACTTCTCTGCTTCTCCCTAGGAGAGTGGGCAGAGAGCAAGCAGGCATGGGGGAGGGAAGAAGAAAATGGATGAGTAGTGACAACTTTGGATCCATGAAATCTTAGGAGCAGAAGCAGAGGTATTCCAGACATAGAAAGAACAGGCACACGTCAAAACACATTGTGCTTTCTCATTGTCCAGAATATTGGAAACAGACCCATGGGCCACAGAAGAGGCTGTAGAGGAAAATAGCCACCCTCCCTTTCATTTAGTCACTGCAGGAACCCAGGGGGCCCAGCTCAGTAAGTTTGGTTGGCTTGTTCCTATCCTACTTCTTCTAAATTGGAAAAAGGAAGCTCATTAAATAAGAAAGACAGAAGAAGGAAAAGCAAATGCATGTAGTGGGAATTGTTATTAAAGCACAGATGGGCAAACCAAAAAGTCGGGGGAAGGAAGGAAGGAAGGAAGGAAGGAAGGAAGGAAGGAAGGAAGGAAGGAAGGAAGGAAGGAAGGAAGGAAGGAAGGAAGGAAGGAAGGAATAACAACTCACAGGGCTGCCCGACTCTCGCTCCTGCCCTTTTTGGCTGTGCAGACTGCTGATCTCAGTCTGGGAACCAGAGTGAGAGACGCCCTCAAAGAAGCGCCTGCAGAAGAAACAGACAGACAGAGAGACAGACAGACAGACAGACAGAAAGAGAAATGAGGGAGAAGTGAAGTCACCATTACCCAAGCTTGAATTGCACCCCATTCTCTATCCCCACGGAGCACCACAAGCAAACCCATCACCAAAGCCCTGGTCTTTCAGCAACACAAAAAGACAGTTGGAAGGGAGGGAGGCTGATCCTTGTGAGCAAAGGGGTTTTAAAGTGTCACTTTCAATAGAGAAGGAATAAAATAGAGCAAAGCACTTCTACTTCCAGCTAGAACAAGTATATTCTCCCCAACTAACTAGATTCTCTCTTCAAGTAACTGAATCTGCAGAAGAAAGAGGACAGCTATCGTTCGGGTTAGGTTTGAAAGGACTGGGGGAAAAACCAAATGCAAAACTGAAAGGTAACTCAGAAATCACAGGAAGAGAAACTAAGTAAGTCTGCTTTGGCTCAAACTTGCAATTTTATTTTGTAACAAATATGCACCAACATCACAACTAAAGGATAAGATCTACATTGCAGATTGGTCTAACTCCTGGCTACTGCACAGCATTAAAGATATTGCTGGGTTTAGGTAAGATTGAGTTGCATTATTTCTATCGGAAGATAAATAGAGTTGGGAGATATGGATGTTTACTCAAATCTATTTGCAAGAACTCAAGAGTACATGATTCTTTGTAAAGATATTGCATTTCCAATATCTGAAAAGGAGCAGTTTAAAGCATCTGGTGAACACAGGTACTGCCGACACAAGATGGAATCACCCAAACGAGCTAAGATTTTTTCCCCCAGATTTCACATTATACATACAAAGACTTTTGCAAGGAACTTGTCTCCTTTTACATTTTAATCTTTATATGTTTTAATATTTTACTGTAAACTGCTCAGAGTCTCTCTGTGAGGGAGATGGCAGTTCCAAAAAGTGATAAATAAAGAAAAATAAAAACTGATGGGATGTGCATGTTTATGCATGTATACCCCCATAACTCCTTTACAATACCATGCATATGCCAGGGAATACCCGCAAAGGCCCACAACCTCAAGACAAGCTCTACTGAGAGACTGATCTTAGTGTAAAACAAAAGAAAGCTAACGCTATATACTCCAAGGAGAAGTGCCATCAACTGGCAATTCCCATATGCTTCTAACCATCTAACAGTAACTCACTCAGATCAAACTGACAGTTCTTCAAAGATGGAAACATCTGAGCAAATAGATCTCTGATGGAACTAATTTCAAGGATGTTGTCTTAAAGTGTCATCTCAAATACCAAAAAGCCCAATCCAGGGGCTTATAAAAAGGCATCACTGTATCACTATTTGCGTTGAATAGATAGAGAATTTTTCTCAGTGGAAAAGGAGGGAGCCACTCTCCCCCTTTTCTCAGGTCACTGATGAACTGCGGAACATTTTCAAACTTACAGGACAAATACAACCTCTCTGTGGATTAATTTGCAAGGCCATTTTCCTGGACATTTGAGAAGTGCATTATGCACCTCCATTAATTATGCCTCAAATAAGATACAGATAAGAACATTCCTAGCTATTTATCCACTATTAATGAAACAAATGTACAGGAAGTTGTGCAGATATGACTTTCAGGAATGAGGAGAACCTTTTCTAAAATATTTGCTGCCTTGGAAGAAACAGGCATGGCACCACTAGAGAAGCTCCAAGAAAGTAATAGCTCTGTTTCCTACTTTGTAAGCAATCAGTCAGATATTCCTCAAAAGTTTTTTCTACCAGCCTAAAAATAAAAATTGAATGTTGTTCCTCTGAGTATGCTAGATTACAACTCTCAACCATAGAAGCTACAGCTGCACCCAACTGTAAAACACCAGATCAGAAACATCTGCTTATCTTTTTCAGTAAGACAATATTCAATTCCATTTATGCTCTGGTTGTCCACTGAGCTTTTCCCAACAGTGAGATTTGCAGAACTAAGAGATACAGATTAACTATAGACCTATTCTATCTCTCAGATTACCACTAAATCCTCCTAAAGATTAATAAAATTGGAAGCCTGTCCTCATGAAAGGAAAACCATGTGAAAACACTAAAAGAGATAGTCCATCATTTCCCCAGGCAAACACTAAAGTACAAAATTCATCACTAGTCTCTCTCTGTTTTACCCCGTCATTTGTAAAGCAGACTCAGCATAACTGCCACAGAGGAGCTTGGCTACTTCATCAATCCCTGCTGGTCTGTTGTGGCTTATGCAGGGCTCTTTATTAGCCTGTCACATTTAAGGTCCGCCTGAAGCTATTCCCATCTATCACCAAATTACTTTATGATCCCCTTTCACAGCAAATGAATCACAAATGCAGAAACTGTGTCTTGCAAATAATCAGCCCAGCTGCATGAGGGAGAAGGAAAATTAGGGCTGTCACCCCAAATACAGCTCTCTGGGACTGCAGTCTAGTGAACTCACTGGGGCTTGGTTTGGAGTAGACAAGCAAAGGATTCCTGGCTGGGTATGGAGTTATTTGAATTTTGGAGGAAATGTTGAGAGACTAAAATCCAAAGGAAATCTTTCCTGCCACAATTCATCAAGCCAGTCTCAATGGCTTTTCATCTGAGCTCTTACCTCAACGTTGGTTTAGGAGTGCTATGAACACTTTCATTATCTTCAATCTCAGGGCCGCTGTCACTATTGTTGCATTCCTCAAGGCTGTCATACAGCAGACCAAGGTCTTCCTCCACTTCTTGGGTCTGATCCACTGGGTCAGAATCCAAAACCTGTAGATCCCAAACCAAGGTGGAGAAGAAAATGATACAGCAACATAAAGTACTAATTTTATCAGTTAGCTCATATTTACTTTTTTAAATATTTATTACATATAAAAAACATACCAAAAATTAAAATTCTCCTTGCTGATGCACTAGGGTAAATACAACTACATATATCTGAACCACTGAAATTGACTGCTATGAAGTCATTTTTTAAAAAAAATTGGAGTGTATTGGTTTTTATAACAGCATTGTAGCTTTGTCTCAGAAACCCATGTTGAAAAACAGAATGTTACTTTTTATTACAAAAAGAAAATAAATTTAAGCACTTCTAAGAATAAAATTAAGTAAGCAAACACCAGTAAAAACAACATCAGCAAAGATCTATATTGTCAACCAAAGACTAACAGTTATTGCCATTCAGAGGCTTATTCTTTTGTTTGAAGAAGAACTTTAATTCATAAAATAGGTTACAAACACCACACAAATTTGAATAGAATCTGTATAGTATTAGGAAGAGCAACAATATTGCATTTTTGGGCTTTATGATGCTATGTTCCTTTTCTGAGGAAGGGCAATTGTGACAGAAGCCAATGAAAATCAATTTTACCCCAATTCTCAATATGGAAAACCATATCATAAGAACTACCAAATGTACTACCTGATTCGTGCCTCTTTTAACAGATGAAGAGGACCAAACACAGCTTCATTACAAATGGTTATGCCTCTTATTTGGTAAAGGAGAATTTCTGGACTTACATAGAAAACACTTCCTTGATTTATGACAATTCAGGGTTTACATATATTTATCCATCTCAAGTAATGATTCTATTATCCTGTGTGACTTGAGGGTATAATACTCAAAAGATGAAAGAGAGAGAGGGGGAGAGGGAGAGGGAGAGAGAGAGAGAAGGAGAGAATGTACTTGGACTCATCTGAATACTTTTTGAATCTCTCAAATTAATAATCATAAAGCAGGAATGGACAATTTTTAAAAGACTGTGGGCCACAACTACAACTTAGTTTCTTGATCATTCAGAGGCTATAATGAGCCACTTATGAAGGGATAGACTTTTTTTTTTTTTACACATTTGGGAAATTACAACAGAAATGGGAACAGGCCTCTGCAGAGCAACTGATGTAGTGGACTATGATTTATAAAAGCTCATGAGAAAATCTTAAAAGTGCCACAGAATTTTTTGTTGGTTTTGCTGAAAAAGTCTAACATAACTACAGCTCTCTACAGGCTCTTAAAGAAAAAGGAAGAAATAGTTTGTGCTCTAAGTGTTTAACCTTAGAAATGTCTTTAACATTCTCTGTATTTTGAAAATGTTACTGATCAATCCCACAGTGGTTAAGCACAAGCCTTTATGCTGTAAAATAAAACATCTCTGATCCTGAAGGAGCCTCCCCAAAGCTACCCAGCTCAACACCTCGGCCAAACACTCCACAGTGGAAGTGTTTACAAACTAGAGACACAGAGAGAAAATGAGTGATTGCATGCAGAAGCCTAATCCAGGCCATCAAGATGGGGAAAAGGAATGCTCCCTCATCCTGAAAAACTTGGAAATTAAGTCCTATGGGATCAAAGTTTTATCTTGATAACCAAAGCAAAGGATCTGCTTTACGCTCTGCAGCATCAGACAAAACTAAATGAATTAAAGCCAAATTACAGAATCACTGATAACCAAATAATTCTGGGAGAATGTATTTCTACTATCCTGAGATAGTGTATATAGTGTACACAAAGTGTGTGGGATCAAAGGAGCTACATGCTTTCCCTTTCCTGGGTTGTAACTCATACCCAGTGCTGCCAGCTGTTATGAAACAATGAAATGGGGGGAGGGGGGAGCAACCCCCCCACACCTCTGTCAGCAATTTTAGTCAATCAAACCTTTCAGGTTTTGATAACCTGAGGCCAGCACAGGAACCAAAACAGAAAGGATAATAAATAATATAATAAGGAGTAGCACTTTGGCTATTGGGTGGTTCACACCCAATTTTGGGGGGAGGTCTACAGGAGAAGGCATTGAAACAGCATGTTGATGGCACTGATAACCTATTACTATTGCGGCAAGCTGTGAATGCTAAATGAAGATAGTAAAAAATTATTAACCTGGGGGGGGGGACACAAGTGGAAGTAACAAGCAATAAAGCATCCTTCAGGGATGGGAGGAGGCTTAATCCTCTTGTGCATGAAGAATGAAGTAGAAACTACTGCACTGAAAAATCTTTACAGTGCATTCAGAAAGGGATGGAGAAATCTGTGGCCCTCCAGAACTGATCAGATTCCAACTTGTAATAGCACCAGTCAGCATGATCAAAGACAGGAGCTGCAGCCTGCAGCATCTGAAGGCCACAGGCTTCTCCCAGTCTACTGCTCTTGTTGCTGCATTTGAAGCACACTGAATTAGAGCGAGCAAATACAGGGATCTCTTTGGTGGGATTCTACTGCATTCCTGGTATGGCCATGCATGCACCTTGGTCACAAGAGTGCCAGTTACAGTTTCTGCAGCAGATACTCCTACAAGAAATTGCAGGGTAATGTCTACTAAATATGACTAAACTATATTTCTACAAAGTATATCAAACTAGCTTTGTCCATGCTAACAACTGCTAAGATATTCAATGCTCTGCTCTGAGACATACATACAATTCATTCAGTAGGATAACAAATTATGTTGTAGTGGTATGTCAGTCTAAAACAGTGGTTCTCAACCTTTTTAATGCCACGACCCCCAACCGGTCGTAAGTCGAGGACTACTCAACCGCTTGTAAGTCGAGGACTACTCAACTGGTGCAGCACCGTTTGCAGAATGGGACTTTTGGCGGGCTCAGCAGGGCAGAGACAGCCTGGACAATTCCTATTGGCTTTTGAAAGCCAATAGAATTAGACTCTATTCAAGAGAGTCTATTCTATTGGCTTTCAAAAGCCAATAGAATAAAAGGGAGTAGCACAGCTAAGGAAAAGGGGGAAAAAATGGCGGACTGCGTTGTTTGGCAACCCCCGTGAAATGGTCGTTCGATCCCAAATGGGGTCCCGACCCACAGGTTGAGAACCACTGCTCTAAAATAACCTTTCATATTTATGATGTAACTTATCCAGAGTCACTCAGTGAGATGGGTGGTATAGAAATTTAATAAATAAATAAATAAACTCAAACTTGGAAATAATGAATCTGCCACAGAATTGAATATAAGATGGAAAGTATTTTTTTTAGATTCTACTTTCAGGCTTGTGCTCCATCCAAAATTTGGGTTTCTCTTAGCATAACATTTAAGTAATGGATTAGACTATAATTTTTCACTTTAAGTTATATTTCATATTGTGCTTATCACTGACACTAATATTCACTTCTGGCTAAGATCAAGTACGATTTAATTAATCTTATAATGGATGTAAATCTCTTATTTATTTGCCTTGTGCTTTTCCTTCCCCTCTTCTTTAGTTTATGACTTTTTCCCCTTTTAAAATATTCAGTAAAAATGTTCAAAAGATATTGAGTGAAGAAGGAAAATAATCTACCTCTGCAGCTATCTGAAACCAATTTCCTTACCTCATCTGTCACTTTAAACCTCTTCAGCAAGGCAACAAATTTCTGCTTGAAGTTTGGTTGCTAAAATATAAAAGAAGTTGAGAGGAAACAGATTCAGTAATAGGCACAGAGTCTTCTTTTGCTACCTCCCTGGACTACAACACATTCTGTAATTGGCCCATCTTGCCATTTTCTCCCCAGCAGAAATAAAACATTGCCCAAACACAGAAGCCAAAATGACCTATCAGTAGCCCAGACCCAAACTTCCAAAGGGAGAGGATGGGCAATCCCTTGGGAATAGCAGCATCAATGTTAGCTTCTCCCTCTACTGATTCTAGAGGCAGAGATGGTCAGTATCCTCCCTTCATTTGCCTAATTATGGATTTAATCAGGATCAGCAGTAGCTGAACTTAAGATGAAAAAGGAAAGATCAATCGTTGGAGTCACTGTGCTGGAAGGGGGGAATTCCAGCTGTTGCTCCCATCTGCTGAATGTGGATGCCCCCTCAGGTACAGCCTTTTCATCCCAACAGCTTCCTACCAGTTACTGCTCTTATGCATGTTATGCATATATTCACAGAATCACAGAACTGAAGAGTTGGAAGGAATGACTTCCGCTTCCGGATCGCGGCACATTCAGTCACACAAAAAGACCTCTCTCTTCATCGGTTGTTTTCCCTCCGTCGGTAGACCCTTATGCGGGTCTTAAATCGCCCTGGAGGGGCAACTACCATCAAGGAGGCTTTTGCTCATCTGCGGTGGAGCAGTGGCTCCCCCGGCAGTCCGAGCTAACTCCGTAGGGCCAACAGAAAAGAAGATTGGCCAATAAAATGACCGATCATTTAGCTGCGCCAGATGAAGTCAGAAAATCATCTAAGCATAAAGAACCACCGTGGTGAATCCGGGTGAGACCTTTCCTCCCTCTCTCTGTCCTGACTATTTGCCTGTAAAAAGTTTTTGATTACTTCCCTGTCTTAAGAGAGCAGCGTCTGTCTACTTGGGAAAGAAAGTTTTAAAAGAACTAAAATAATTAAAGTTTTATTGACTACTTGATTTTTCCCTTTGGATACCTAGGGGCCCTGAAAAAAATAAAAAAGAAACGCTATATTTTTTACTTTATCTATTATACCAGAGATACTTGCTTTTGCTTTTTCTGTTTCCCAAAAGAGATAAATTTTTACCTATTTGGAAGAAAGAGTTTACGGTCCACTGAGGACATCTTGTGGCGAAAAGTGTCATTACAACTGTATTTTCTTTTGCTATATGAAGATGAATTTGACCTTCAAATGACAACAAAAGGGAAAAGAAAAGATTTGCAACAGCTGTGGTGAATTTGCTTATTAGAATTTGAGGTGGATATTTGTTGACCTTTTTGAAATATAGCCTAAACTAAAAGATCAAAGACTATTCTTGATCAAAGACTTATTTCACCATTGAAATGGAAGAATCTTATCAATAGCTCGACTATGAACTTATATTGGAAAAGATTTTGGAAACTACAAACTATATGAAAGCTTATATCAAATCTTGGAGAAAAATCAAAGATGATACTAGAGAACCACAAATTGACTTTCAACTATCGGTTCAAACTACAGACCAAAGAATAACGGAGGAAGAACAGAGTAACCCTAGAGAGGTTCCTACTCAACAAGATATACAACTGAACGAGACAGAGGAACTGCACTTACAATTTAATTATGAACCTACAGTAGAAACTATTGAGCAAATTAATTCTACACAATCCTATTTACGACCTATGGAGAACATTGATGATCAAAGAAAAACATTAACTGAGCTATTCGATTTCCCAAAAATAACAGAGCTTGACATTCAGGTACAAGTTATTGAAAATTGGGATAATGTGGACAATCAACTACCAACTAAATAAAGAATAAAATTGACTATACTATTCAGATGACATTGGAAGAAAGAGAAGAGAACTTTGACTATTCTGATGTACTGAGAAACAGCTTTACTCAAATGTTGAGGTTTGATGATGCAGAGGCTTTATTATGGAAACTGATTTGGCATAGAAAGAAAGCTAGAATTAGGTTTAAAATGTGGCTTAAAATTCCACTGAATGGGTTAAAAAGGTTGTTGACACTTGGATTGTTTTAATAACAAATGAAATAGGTGATTTTGTAAAAGGTTATTTTCTGTAACAATATTTGGTATTAGAGATGACAAGTAGAGGGGTAAATTATACTTAATTGATAGAATATATATTTAAAATAGACAGAAATGTAGTTTTTGAACTGATATCTTTATTTTAACCAAGACAACTATTTTGTAATAGAGGGAGAAGAGGAGGTATTTGTGATAAGAGAAGTAATAGTATTAATAAATGATGTATTAGTTTAAACAATAGGCTATATCTAAAAAAGTGTAAGGATGTTGCTTTTTGGGATAATATATTTATCTTACATAGAATCATCATGATAGGGAAAAGAGAAAAGAGGGATGCCCGAAGTGTTAATATGTCTAGATAAGCTTAAATGGAATATGGTAATTTTCAAAATAGTAAAGCTTAAAAACAGGACTTGGATTCTTATAATTGAAATGTGATTGATGACTGATTGGATTGATTGAGCTTTTTTTTACAAATATAATAATTTTAATTGGTAAAATAATATGTGGGAAACAGAGAGGGAACTTTTAAGGAATTAATCTGTGTGATATATGTATGATTTTGTTCTTGGATAATTGATAGCCCAATCATTACGTTGTTTCTCAAGCACTTTTATGTAAAAATGAAAAAAGCCAATAAAATTTCTTCATTAAAAAAAAAGAGTTGGAAGGAACCTTCATCATCTAGTCCAACCTCTATCTTCTAAAGAAATTGACTATAATGACTTCCCTGATAAATTACCATCCAACATAAATGTAAACATATTCAGTGAAATCTACCACTTCTGGAGGAAGTCTATTCCCATGTTAAATAGCTCTTACTATTAAGACATTTTTTCCTGATGTCCAACTGAAATCTACTTCCTTGTAATTTAGATCCATTATTTCTTATCCTGTATTATGAAACAAATCAACCCCATCTCCTATGTGATAGCTTTAAGTAATACCGGATGAAATGCATGTGGATATTCTAAGGACATATAACTAACTTTCATGTCAAAAACCAGAAGACATCACTATATTCTAAAAAAAAAAGAATCTGAATCCAGAAAGAAGTCTATAACACACCTAACTCTGCAATCTATGCTGATGGAAGACTACATGAAATGTTCTCTCTGTCTGAATTCATTTATAGATGGCACCTAGGTTCCCTTGTGGGAAGAAAGGGGAAAAGTGAAGTGGGACTTGCAATCATGCTTTATTATGGAGTGCCCTTATTCATGATCCCAGCTAAAGCCCACAGAAATGCAGCCCCATAAAAAAAAAAAGGATGACTTTACTCGGGTCATTGATGTAGTTCGGATCATTTTCCGCCTGGCTTTCTTTGGCTTCCTCATTTCATCCTCTTCGTCATATAAATCCTGAATAGAAAGAGAGGGTAATACACTGTGGCAACCATCTGATTGGGGAGGGGGAGCGTGTTAAATGAAATCTGTGATTCCTTGGATATTTATCAGAGAGTTTTAGAGAGCAACAAACAGAGATTACATGGCTATTATCAACGAGTAGAAAGTTGAGATGGGGATCTTCTTAGAAGGTATGTTTTAAAAGTCAGCTAATTCTGGATCAAAGAAATGTGTACAATCATTAACACTATTATAACAGTATCATTCCAGATATATATTGGTTGTTCTCTGATAAATATCTCAATAGATTCACTCCTGTTGCTAGAACCTTGTTTTTCTCTCTTAATAGCTTTCATCTCTCCCACAAGTATCCATCCACAGTTAAAAAACTCTGATATTTCTGGTAAGTGAAGGAGGAAAAAAATGTAATCACTTATTATATGCCTCTGTTTGAATTGTAGGATAAAAATCCACCGCATTTCAATTCTCAGTTTGAGGCTCTCTCTTACTTTATCATCTACTAATCAATTGTATTCTCTCCCTCTCCTTTCTCCCCTTCTCTTTTTCCCCCATCTCCCTCTCCCCCCCTCCCTTAAGCCCTTTTATAAACTGGGTTCAGATTAGCTGCTGAAGTGGGAGGAAAGACAGTAGCAATTGGTACTTGGTACTTAACACTAAAATATACCCCTTCCTTGACAGCTGAAAGGGTGATTCAAAAAAGATATACTCTCTCTTAATCTCTTTTAGTAAGAGTGGGTAATCAATATTGTTAACCAAGCCTTACCATCCTCATGGATTGAGGCTTTTGTAACTCAACCACACTTGAAAAATACCCAGCTTTTGAATTTGTGTCTTACAGGAAAGGTAGTAGAAAGGCAAACAGGTAGATAAGTACCTGGCCCTGTACTGCATCATCACTGGCTTCCTGCTCAGAGGAAAAGCTGTCATCTTCTTCTTCAGAATAGTTATCAATATCTGGAGAGCGATCTAAAATGGAAAAAGATGGTTACCATGGCCACTCATGAATTGATAGAGAAAATACAGCAATAAGGCAATAGATTTTCTAATGGAAGGCTACAAGCTAATGGCAAGATGTAACTGCAAGGTTCATGAAAAGAATGACAAAGCACAACAGAACATAATGCCAATTTATCTCAGAAGGGAACAATTTTTGAAAGTTGTAATCCCATTATAACTTGAGGTATTTTTATGAAACATCACTTAACCATACATTTTTTCAAAACGTACTGAACTGACATTGTATTTAACATTACATGTAATAGCTGTTAAGGATTTTATATGCTCTTTAATGGAATGATCTCCTCTATGAGTGAATAGTGAATTAATCTGTGGGATTATGCCTCGAGGTCTAGAATAACTCCATATCTAAAAAGTAAATGTGATCTACAGTTTAATTGCATTTGGAAGCCATTTCTAGCAAACAATTTTATATGTGGAATTGGGCTACATTTGAAATGTGTGTTCTACAATTCTTATTTTATTCTGAGATATAGTCTATACATTATTAGTTTTTCAATGTAGTGTTTGGCTCTCTCCCTTCTGGTTGTGTTCCCAAGCAAGTGCTATTGAAATGCTTCCTGTTTCTGATAACAGAGGTAACCTATAGTTACAATTTGTGGAATTCCTCTTTGAAGGTATCCAAACTGGGTCCAAGTACAATGATTTTGGAGAGTGGATGCCAGTATTTAGCCACGTGTTAGAAAAAGGATCACTAACATTATTGTGGATTAACAGAAGAAGAAAAAATACTTCAGAATGAAATAACAATGTAATCAGACCTGACCAAAGGATTTGGGGCAAAAGAGAACCGTTTCAACTAAACCCTGCAGGGTGAAGCTTTTATAAACAAAACCTTACCAGATGCCTTGATTTTGGGACCAGAGGGGACATTTCCATCTTCATGATCAATAGGTTGACTAGAAAGTGAGTAGATGCTGATTTCAGCCACACGGATGCTCACATCCTTGATGTTGCTATGAAGACCCAAAAGTTGCCCTCCATCTGTTGGGTGCTGCATGACCTGAGTAGAAGATACAGTACAAAAAGCCTCTAGCACAGACTGATACCATTCCATGCTTTTCTTGGAAAAGGTACAAGACAGCCAGGATTATGTTCTGATCCTAAACCTACACCTTAAATAAGCATCTCTTCTTCCCCATCAGTTCCTACGTAGCTGTTTTACAATCTTTCTGCAGTTTCATTTACCTCAGCCATGTTAATGATGCCCACTGCCAGAGTCTTGTAGCCCAGAATAGTTCGATTCTTGTACCTCTTTCTGCGTTGCAGCATGATCTGGAGCTTGTTACCATCTCTTTTCAGGAAATGTGGATACTGTAAAGAAAGAAGGCAAGGTATTCAGATGAAAGACTATTTTCAAAGTGCTTCTGGTGAAACATTCACAGAGAAGTAAAGAAGGAATATGCCAGATCTCTCAAGCAGCCTCCATATTCCTTCGTTTACGCTTCATTTTATAACCAGAACACAAATGTGATTGGAAAATAGCCTTAGGCTGTGCTCAGAATAAACTAATTATGAAAATAAGACCCTTTGAACACTGTGGGCTTATTTCAGAATAAATATGCCAAGGATTATGCTTTAAGAATATCTATCATATGCTACAAATAGAAGGTAAACACTGTTTAACAATTCATAAGCACCTGAAGGTAGGACAAGAAGCAACGGATGAAAACTAATCAAAGAGAGAAGCAACCTAGAACTAAGGAGAAACTTCCTGACTTAGAACAATTATTCAGTGGAACAACCTGCCTCCAGAAGTTGTGAATGTACCAACACTGGAAGTTTTTAAGAAGAGACTGAACAGCCATTGGTATAGGGTTTCCTACCTGAGCAGGGGGTTGGACAGCCATTTGTCTGAAATGGTATAGGGTTTCCTGCGTGAGCAGGGGGTTGGACTAGATGACCTCCATGGTACTTTCCAATTATATATATATATATATATATATATATATATATATATATATATATATATATATATGTATGTATGTATATGTAGGTCTTTGGTTGTTCGGGTTTTCTCCCACGTAAAATTGGAAGTGTCTTGGCGACGTTTCGACGAACTCCCATTTGTCATCTTCAGGCTGGTGCTTTCAGCTTCGTGCACTTCCAATTTTACGTGGGAGAAAACCCGAACAACCAAAGACCTACATACAAATACCCGCGAAAACCTCAGAAAACATATATATATATATATATCCTTAATAGTTATAAAAATACGAATCCCGGGATCTCCGGGAAGAGTATACTCCAACATTTAAAACAATAAAAACAGTTATATACAAGATTAAAACAACTTAGCTTTCGCTGGTCCTCTGCCAGAGTCCTCAAACTTCCCACCCCCTAAGCCCCACTCTGAGGACGCTGGCAGAGGACCAGCGAAAGCTAAGTTGTTTTAATCTTGTATATAACTGTTTTTATTGTTTTAAATGTTGTTTTAACAATAAATATATATATTCATATATATATGAATATTAAAAACAAAATGGTGATTCCTGGGTAGACTCATGTTAAACAATAAAATATACGAACACCAGGAAGTTACAAAACTATAAAAAGTTTTAATAAAACCAGAATAAAACCAAGCTTTCGCTGGCTTCTGCCAGCATCATCAGGGTAGTGTCCAGTCGATGGGAGAAGCTATTTATAAATGTGGCGCTCTTTGCCCCCGGCTTCTTGACCTCGTCATGGGTCCCAGCCAATCCACCTGCGTTTTGATCGTAGTTTCTGTGTTGCAAGCTGTAATTTCCTCACTTTCCTTACTTGTGCCGGTACCGCAGCTCTTCCTCCCTTCTTTGTATGACTGTAAGTCGGGGGGACTCCTTAATTCTACGTAGTTAAATGTGCACTGTCTGTGTTTATGTTGTTTATTCTCCTCATCCTCCCTCTTAGTACTCCCTATTTCCATTCTCCTCCCCGTTTCTCTGTTTACGATCCTCCTTCACAATTATAGCCTCATTGTTTGTCTCTGTAGCCCAAGATTCCATTGTGTTTGTATCATCCTGTTTCCCGATCCTTCGTATCACTTTGTTAACTCCCCTTTCTATTTTCTCTTCATTGGGGGTGATTTTGACATCCTCTCCGGAATTCATGGCACCCACAAGTTGATTGTTAACCCCTTCTCCCGAGGGGGCTGTCCCCTCACTGTTTATTATTATTATTATTATTATTATTATTATTATTATTATTATTATTATTATTATTATTATAGATCATCGCACAGTCAGCCAGATGTTCAGACTGGATTTGGCATTTTGTCCACCCATCGAGTCCTTACCCAGGACCTGGCATAGGCAGACGTGGATGCTTGATGGTATTACAAGTATCGTCACAGGATGGAAGCAGTTCCTAGTAAGGCCGCCTTTTGCAATTGACTAATAGCGAATTTGTCAATGCCAATGGTGTTCAAGTGGTGCTCCAGTTGTTTTGGGATTGCACCCAAGGCGCCTATGACTATTGGTACTACCCTTGCTTGCTTTGCCACAGTCTTTCTATTTCTATTTGTAGGTCTTTGTATTTTGTTATCTTCTCCAGTTCTTTCTCTTCTATTCTGCTATCTCCAGGCACTGCCACGTCCACTATCCAGACTTTTTTGTCTTTCTTATCGACAATTGTTAAGTCTGGGGTGTTATGTTGCAGGTGCTTGTCTGTTTGAATTCTGAAGTCCCAGAGCAGTTTAATTTTATCATTTTCTATGACTTTCTCTATTTTATGATCCCACCAGTTTTTGCTTACAGGCAAATGATATTTTTGGCAGATCTTCCAATGCACCATTGTTGCTACTTTGTCATGCCGCTGCTTGTAGTCAGTCTGTGCAATCTTCTTGCAACAGCTTACCAGGTGGTCCACTGTTTCTTCAGCTTCTTTGCATAGGCGGCACTTACTGTCTGTTGCTGTCTTCTCAATTTTGACTTTATATGCATTTGTCCTTAAGGCTTGGTCTTGTGCAGCCAGAATTAGTCCCTCGGTCTTCTACTACTACTACTACTACTACTACTACTACTACTACTACTACTACTACTACTACTATTATTATTTTACTTGAAATGCTATTATTAAATATATTCTGTTCAAAATAGACAAACTTTTTACTGAGACACAATTCTTTATTTCTGCCCAAGAAAGTTAAAGTTACCTGCAGTGAAAATGTTAACTCCAGATCAGTCTCCATCAAGCCTCCAGGTGGTAAAACATATTCATTGGATCTCAAGACTCTTTTTGAGCCCTGTAACAAATCCAGGAACAATCACTGCATCATTAACTCATTTAGTTACCAATTTAATACATATATACATACATGCCAGTAGATAGGTCAGTTATCTCTAAATCACTGTTTAGATTTTATATACACACATACATCACACACATATCCACCCATTCAACATGCACTACATATAAAATCTAACAGGTTTCTTATTGGGAGCTGCAATTATTCACAAATAGACCGGTTCACAGAAAAGCAAGCTAGGGAGGGTTGCTAACAATTGGAGGTGGAGAATTAAATAATAAATCACAAGCATGGCTTAGAAGTCCTTAATTTCTCTCTCTTTTTCAGGAGCTCCCTTTCCTAACAGAGAACCACAGTTTTGTTTCCTTATTTCTGTCCTTAGGTTTTTCTCATCCAACTTGCTCTTCTCAGACAGCATCTCCAGCCTACACCCCAGTTCGCTTCCTCCTTCCCCTTTATTCCACTTCAGGGATTAATTAGCTTTCTATTGATATAATGTTTACATTATTAAGACTGCTTTATGAATAGAGACTATAATTGTTTTACATTATTTGGGTTTATAATTGCTGCCACGTACTTTCCATTAATATTAACGATCACTAGTGATGATCATTAGTGAAGATTAATAATCAACTATTTTCCCTATTAATATTATTGATAATGTGAATTTTACCTATAATCATGGTTCCCAATCTTCCTCATCCTCCATTGCCATGTACATTCTGACACTGATGGACAGAAACACCTCGTAAAAAAGGACAGAGAATGTGTAGCTCTCTACAAGTTGTTGGACTCCGACTTCTATCATTCCCCCACCAGAAGGAACAACAATTAGTAATGATAGAATCTATGGTACAGTATTCATGTATTCATGTCTCTTGATGCTATCCTTTAACTGTGCTTTTAATCTGGAAGTTAGAGGGGATTGTGAGAGGAAAAGGGAAGTTTGCCTGGTACTTACATACTACCCTACTACTTTGGCTGGCAAAATACTCTCAAGAACCATTTCACTATCTCCTTTTCAATAGACCCAGAAGAAATTTTTCCATACTGTATTGCAGAAAAGTTACCTTTATGGCCAATGAATGATAAGGTTAGGCAAAAGTAGTGAGGCCCCATCACTTCTTCACCTTACTTCATTACATTACATAGAATTTATTTGAAGAGAGGCTTAATTCTAGCAGGATTAACTGCTTCATGACCCACCTCAAAGAAAAGGATTAACCAGGTTTCAAGACTCACTGGAGAAGGGCCTAATGCTGGGAAAGATTGAGGGCAATAGAAGAAAGGGACGACAGAGAATGAGGTGGCTGGATGGAGTCACTGAAGCAGTAGGTGTGAGCTTAAATGGACTCCAGAAGATGGTAGAGGACAGGAAGACCTGGAGGAACGTTGTCCATGGGGTCACGATGGGTCGGACACGACTTCGCAATTAACAACAACAACAACAAGGTTTCAAGATGGTTTTAATAACTCTTGCACATGTTCACTAGGATTGGAGAGCTATTCTGATGACACCTTTTTGATCAGTTTTAAAATATTAATTTACTGAGAGAGATCTAAGCATGTCCCTAAAATATATTATATTTCAGAGCTGGAAGCATCACAGAAGAAAAAAAGAATGTAGTGAGTATGAAATGCTTTAAAAAAAAAGGCCAACCAAGACTGAAATCAGCATATCCATTGTTTTGTTTGTTGCTTTTTAACACATGAAACAGTTTTAACCTACTGGTTAAAAGAATCTAGAAGAATAATCTTCACCTCAAATACTCTGGGCAACCATCCAGATATACTCCACACAGTCCTCTCTCAAGGAGATGTCATCTTCTCCTTAATACCTCCTAAGCATATATTTTTTCTGATTGCCAAAAAATCCTAGTACTGCTTTGGCTCACTTTGAATTAGAACAACATATTCAGAAAAAGCACACAGCACAGTACATGGAGAGTACTAATTCAGCACAAAAGATGTGGAAAACTGCATGCTTAGGTTTTTGCCCCCAATATAGAACACATGACACAGCAAGCAAGCCCCATATTGAAACTGGTAAGGAGTGGTGATTGCAACAGTGCACTATTGTATTGTAGTTTTGGCATAATTAAATTGTTATATAAACTTTTAAGAAAATGCCGATTGTGCACTTCGACTCTGAAAACCTAATTAGACCTGATCCCTATAATATAAAGTTTGCCACCAGAAGGTTTCTTACATATAGACATATACGTATGAATACAACAGCAATCTAAAATGATGAAGCCCAGTTTGCAAAAATCTCAATAACTACTATTATATGGTAGAAATACTAGAGGTCTCAACCCTTTTCTATCAAAAATCTCCTGGGTTTACACACCCATGCTGTTGCTTGATAGATATTGCTGCTTGACAGATATTGCTGCCAATAAAGGAGAATATTTGTAGCTCTTGGCTGATGAGAGGTCCTTTGTGCTCTTCGAGGTTGGTTGTTTTCTAGTCACTGATGATGTTACCTAGTTTGGGTAATGAAAGGTCTGCAAGAAAACAATCAATCTCAGAGACCACCAAGGACATCCCCTCCCTGTCCCCAGATATTGCTGCTTCCACATGGCCTCCTGGAGAATCAGAATCCTAGCATGATAGATAAGAATCCCACAGTCCATGGCCTTACTGGCAAGTACAAAAGAACAAAAGATGATAAAAATGAAATAAATTCTACAATGCTACCTCCTGGTTTTTATAGTATTAATACTGCTCCATCTAACAAATGACAGTTGAAATTACTATATTTTAAAAAAGGAAAGGAGAGGATGCAAAAATCCCTGTTCAGCATTAAGTTATGGCAGGTAAAAACATTCAGGGGCAAGGAGATAAGAGTAAAGTACAATTAAAACCAGTTAGCAACTTAAAGAAATCTCCCACTCAAAACTGCAATAGAGAAGATAAGATAAAAATTGATAGATCTTCTAATAATATAAAACAACTTTATTGCAAAGAGATACCAAGTTGCATTAATATCCAGGATAAGATATATCAGATATCATAAAGCTTAAATAATTGCATATATTCCAAAGTAAAATTAACTCTTAATTATAAAATATTACCAGCTAGACCTTTATATTTATTCTTCCCAAAGTAATGCCCTCTATCTCAATTATTCCCAGATCCCTTGTCCAGATGATCCCTGAGGATTTTAGTCGTATACTGTAATTTCTGAAACTGTTCTCTTCAGCCTTGGTTCTAAACTTGTCCTTTTCTGTAGATGTCTTTCATCTCTCATTCTCTTTCTGGGATTTGGATTTTTAAAATGATAAAATATTTCCTCTCCTCAAAGGGGAGCTGTGGAGACCTGGACTACATGCAGTTAGCATAATCTCTGTAGCCTAAGGCCAAGATGTATATTCAGAATGTTTGGAGCCTGCACAACACACAGCTGATAGCCTGGAGTGTTGTGTGAAAGGGGAAATCCTCAACAAAATGTCCCATTTCCTGACCTTAATTCTAGTTAAATTAAGGTACTCCAATAAAATATGTAGCAAATTCCAGGTTATAAATAATGTCGCATTGCCTCTATTAAGCAACTAGCCACAGCTTCTCCAAAATCTTAAAAAATTTATAGAATAAGTTGAGCAGAAATATAGGTCTTAAATTATGGTATGAGCAGCATCCCTCTGATATACATTCTGTATAATCCAGATAAAAGCTAAGCCAAAAGGAAAAAAGGAAAAACAATGGATGTTCACTTCAAGACTAATTTGGGATGGGCTGAAATGAACTAACAGATGTAAATGAACCAGATAAACAGAAGAAACAGCTTGCCAGAAATCATGAATGAAAAGTGTGTGTGTGGGTGGCAAACAAGAAAGTGCTGAAAGAAAGAAGAGTTTTATTGTTGCTACAAGGCCTACACTAGTGAATGACTACATATCTTGTAAATAACAGTAAATGTCTGGCTGAAGTGTTAGATCAAGATCCAGAAAGGATTTTTAAAAGTCAAGTCAATCTATTAAAAAGCTGCTAAGCAGTCTCACACAATCAACTATTCTTCTATTTAGCTCTCCATTTGCATATGGAAGACAGATAAGCTATTTCAAAGATTGCTTCCAAGCAGAGATGAGAGGGATATGTGACTACTTGATATCTTGATAACCCTTAACTTGTGGTGTGTGGACATTTACTATATAGAATTCAGCCTCTTGAAGATATATGTTTGATGATGCGCATTTCTGAATATGAATCCTTTGATCTTCATTTTTAAGAATTATTAAGTTAGTGCCGTTCTGTTATACAAATCAAATGCCTTAGTTACTTTGCCACTAAAGAAGGCCACTAATTATGAAACTCTATTCCTCGATGACTTAGCCAATTATAGATTCCTTTGACAGGGAAAAAGGTGACTGTTGTGTTATTTTAAATAATTTACCATTACTTATGTCCTAATATTTTGCAGATTGAAGTCTATTTTAAATTCTGACCTTTGCTGACTGCAGTTTCCTTTAGTGCCAACTTACATATACATTCTCCAAAAAGGAAATTTATGAAGGAGGGAAAGAGATTTTTTTTCTTACTGGCCATTTCTGTTCCCCAAGTCTCATGGACCTTAAAAAAACCACTCCCCTCTGCAACAAATAAGGCAGAAAAGGGGCGTTGACTTACCTGAACGCCTTTTCTCAGCACGGAGATGGATAATCCACGCAGTGGGTTGAGACTGTATTCCTGGCCAATCAGATCAGTCAGCCAAAGTTGCCACGCCCTGTCCTGGACCATGATTCTCCAGTCTTGACTCGAGCGCAGCCATTGACTGACAGTAAGACGTTTTGGCTCCACTAAATATACCCTATTATCCTAGTCTATAAGGGTGGGTGTGGATTATCCATCTCCGTGCTGAGAAAAGGCGTTCAGGTAAGTCAACGCCCCTTCTCCAGCACTGGAGATGGATAATCCACGCAGTGGGACATACCAAAGCCTATTGTCCCTTGGGTTGGGGAATAGACTGGTCCCGTGTGTAACTTTGGTTTAGAACC